ACCTATCTAGTTTTTATGGTTAAGCGAGGAAGTCAAATATTTTATTTCGTTTGAACTCATCCAACCACCAGTCACACAAGTACGCATCGCTTTTTTTCTGTAGTTTTCTTTGTTTTAAAAAATATGATTTTTTGCTAAATCGGAGGCGAAAAGGTCGGAATTCTGTTCATAACTCTCACTTTTCTCCAACAGAACTGAACTACTATGTGAAACAAATATCATATTCGGAATCAAGATCAAAAACTGAGTTGACTACTGTGTATTTCTATCCTATCCAAATACTTTAATTGTTTGGTGAAAATCTGGATGATTTTTCAATGTGACATCGAAAAAATTAAAGTACTCGAATAGGATAGAAATACACATTTCGGAAAAACTTCTGAAGCGGATTTTTCACCGTACCTTTGAAAAACTAGCTTGGATTTGCCGAAATTCACATACGAATGCATTGATTTTTTTTCATGAGCTGATAGCCCGGGGCTTTCTCTTCGAAATGGGAGTAAAGTGATATCTTGATTTTCCGCGGTTCGGACGTTGTATCGGATTTCCGATGAGTCCCAGGACTGCCGCCCGGTGACTCTTGCTAGTCTTAAAGACGGATGGACTATGGATAAACGACCATGCTGAGTCGCGTGACCATATTTGTTTTTAGAAAAAGGTTTAAAAATCTACCGACAAGCGAGTTTGCCGTGAGTCATGCCGAAAGTTGAAATCGAAAACGCTTAAAAAGATTAATATCGTGCGATGGGGTCTGAAGTACCTGTAGTAAAATTTCCAAAAATTGTTTGCTTTGAATGAAAAGCTTAAAAACTGCATAATTTTTTAATGAAGGTCATGTAGACTTGGGAGTGATCTCATTTTATAGCCGAGAGTTTCGTCTACATTAGACTATGTTCAGCTCAGAATGAAAACTTTTCTACAAAAAAGAGGGAGGGATACTCTTAAACATGAGTCATGATTATTCCTTATCTCTGCTTGCACTGAGACGGAAACTAGTTATGAAGTAACAACTAGAATGCAGTATCTGTCGACATCTCAACCTGCAATTCTAGTTAATCATTGATGATTAATCTATTGACTAAAGCCATGGAGAAATCGTGGAAATTGACTTTTATATACGTTAAATCGGTTACAGAAGAAATTGTATATTATAGATCTTAATTATTACTTAGAAAAATGAAAATGAAGACGCAGCTAGCGACATTACCACCTATTACATCTGCTATAGCTGTGGCGATGGTATGCGGTTGGGTTTATGGTTATAACACGGCAATTATAAGTGGCTTAAGTTATACATTAATTACGAATACATACTTTAGTAATACAAACAATAGTGGAACAACAAGTGCACTACAAGGTCTTCTTACAGTGTGTATTACGATCGGCGCTGTAATAGGTAGTTTTCTCGGTCCTTATCTTGCCAACATATATGGCAGACGACTAGCCTTATTTATTTGTGGCATATGTACTATAATACCTACTGTTATATTAGCCGTAACGAACACATTTATTGTTACAATTATAATTAGAACCGTATTAGGTATTTCTGTTGGATTTAGTTGTACAGTAGGACCATTATATATGGCAGAGATAAGTCCAGTTTATATACGTGGTAGAACAGGTGTATTATACGAAGTAGGACTGTGTACTGGAATATTGTTAGCTATGTTTATTAACTATATTGTAACACCTGGATTAACCGGTAGTGTCGAAATAAAGCTAGAAACATGGAGATATCAGTTAGAATTTGGTTTAGGAGCTGTACCTGGACTACTACTGTGTATATTACCTATCGTACTACAAGAAACAAGTATACATCATCTAACTGCAAAAAATAAGGTAGAAGCGAATAATAATAATATCGAAGTAAAAATAGATAATCCTCGAATACACGATAATACTAATGAGACTAACTCTGTTAGTTCTAGTAATCAAAAAGATAATACAGAGGTTACACAACAAGCGATACAACATACGGCAGCTGTTGATGCAACATCGTCGGTAACAGCTATAGGCCCTCGACACGGATGGCGTACTTTATTCACCACTAGACCAGGTTATAAATACTTATTGGTAGCATCTTTACTATGTGTGACCGATATGTTGACAGGTATTAATGCTGCCTTCTATTATGCACCATTGATATTTGAAGAAGCTAACTTAAAGAACGAATTGCTATATACATTCGCTACTGTCGGTACATGGAATTTGATAAGTAATATATTTCCTTATTTCCTAGTCGACAGATGGGGTCGAAGACCTATATTTTTACTATCACTATGTATCATGGCAGTAAGTACGCTGTTACTGGCATTAAATTATAGTGTGTTTCCAAGTAAAGTTAGTTCACCATTAGCAATAGCATTTCTACTAATATTTGTTGGTGGATGGCAGTTAGGTACCGGTGCATTATTCTTCCTACTAGCAGCAGAATTATTTACTGATTCGGTACGTGAAGAAGGTTTAACATTTACAAATGTGTTATCGTGGTGTTGCAACATTGCATTCAGTTTTCTATTTCCTGTCTTAACTGATGCAATACATATAAGCAATGTATTTTATATACAATTTGCGATCTGTTTAGTATGTACAATATTATCATATTTCTTTTTCTATGAAACGAAAAATCAAAGTTTTGCCGCTACACAATTGCTCATCAAACAAATTATGGTTCCGACAAATGCACTCCAAGACTTGAATGTGACAAAGTCATTAGAAACTTCATTTACAGCGAAAGAATCCTACGAGAACTTCAAAGAGATTTCCGATACGGATAATGTTGGGAAAGTAGTCATGTTCTAACGTGATGAAAGGCTGAAAGAGGTAACTTTTTTATCATTGTCTGTGTTTCATCCGCTGTTACAAAATATCATCATCACGGTTTCACTCTTTGATGCAAAAAATTAATCTTTCTACCTTCGTTCAGCGCTTAGAACATATTTTTCTTCATTTCCTTCGAGACAGTTTAGTACAGTTAACTCTATTTGTTTGAATAATTTTTAATTAGTGATCTTTCGACAACTATGTTAACTGGAAAATCCAACTACCGCTAATAAGCTATCTTGGAAGACCCTGGCGATCTTTCGGTTCGTTATCATAGGCCCTGCATCTGCTTCAAGTAGTATTATCGATACTAGAATATAAGACCGGTGGTCATTCTTTGAAAATAACTGTTGAACCAAAGTAGATGAAAACTTTCGCTATTCGATAGCCAAGGCTTAAGAGCATGTTTTCATAAGCAGAAGATATTCAGCAACTTTTTTCAAAAACCAGTTTTCAAGAAGATCTCTGGAAAGCCGTTTCCTAACTGGAAAATTCGATATAGTATTAGAGAGCAACGGGATATGCACTCTAACTTGCTTGAATATTGATTGAAGGGTATGGTGTGCACTAGTTTATTTATGGAAAACACACTCTATTACAACATACACAACTCACACAAAAACATACACACCGGATCTGACATGAAAATGATGATGAACGCGTGCTATTTATAGCGCAAAAGAGAGATAAAAAAAACAATGAAATTACTACAAAGAGAACAGACATCTAGAATATAGCCACATCACAAAAGAGTAAAAAAGAAAATCAAATGAAACATAGACTAATCGGAGAGGATAAGGAAAGGACAAATGAAGTACAGTGGTGTTAGACGACACTATCTAATAAGGGAACCTCCCGGGGTGATAAATCTCTTTTTGATCGAAATCTAGTGGGTTATACGTTATCGACTATGCTGATTCCGAAAATGATCATGGAGCTTCCCCATAGCTCTTCGAAGATCCGGTCTTCTGGAAAATAGGTTTTCCGGAAACTCTAAAAAATAACCAAAATCTTTCTTTACAAACTGAGTGACAAATTGTTTCCGGCATAGACGGTCAACAAGAAGTAAACAAAACTAAAAGTGAGTCACACGGTTGGATAGAGAATTGAAAGCCCTACACAACGTATTACTTTGTTTTTATTTAGTTCTCTTTCTTTCCTTAGAAAATTTCATTTTTCACTGAATGAGTCATCGGAAAAATGGGTATCTTTTTGTTTTGACCCACGTATCTCAGTGAATTTAAGAGATATCGCAATCAAATTTTCCTTGGTAGTGAGACAAGATATCAGGAAGAAATTAAAATAAGAAATTTGAAAATCGGTTGACAGTAGCGGGAGTGCGGCTGAAAATACGTAAACAATGTAATTGTACAGAAAAGTTAAGATTGACCCATATATACAAGAAATATCAAAACATCAAGCTGTTCATAAAGAAACTAAACCTCCAACAATTTAACGGGTGCACCAGAATAAATGGCGGTCTCACGAGGGAACCTCTCGAGGTGATTAAAAGCTTTTCGACTCAGACTATTTTCATCATGTAGGGAATAGTCAGCAGTGAAAAACCCCAAGTTTGTTTGAGCCCATGCGCTTTTTTGACGAAGATATGAGTTAATTAATGAAAATGCCATTAATGATAATTAATTAATAGCTCACCATGATCAGCTAGGAGTCGGAAATTTACACCACAGTTGAAGATATATGTTGTCAACTCACTGCGACACTTTTAGGCTTATAAACCAAAGCTTTTGCAAGATATGAACCTTTTACGATTTAGACAGTTTTTAGTGAAAAATCACCATTGAAAACCTAAAAACTTGTTACCATCTTTTAAATACCTCTGTTCGCGCTACAAAAGCTCAGTGGCTCTTAGGGACCTATATCTAAATGAAATAAGTCTTTTCTGAGTCGATAGAGGTATTTAAAAGGTGATAACAAGTTTTTAGGTTTTCAATGGTGAATTTTCACTAAAAACTGTCTAAATCATAAAAAAAATTCATATCTTGCAAAAGCTTTGGTTTATAAGCCTAAAAGTGTCGCAATGAGTTGACAACATTTATCTTCAACTGTGGTGAAAATTTCCAACTCCTGGCTGATCATGGTGAGCTATTAATTAATTATTATTAATGGCATTTTCATTAATTAACTCATATCTCCGTCAAAAAGGCGCATGGACCCAAACAAACTTGGGGTTTTTCACTGCTGACTATTCCCTACATGATGATAATAGTCTGAGTCGAAAAGCTTTTAATCACCTCGAGAGGTTCCCTCGGAAACAAATCCAGACCAAGTTATGGTTAAAATACTGACCAGCTCACGGCCATGTAGCTCACGGCCATGATCAGCTAGGAGTCGGAAATTTACACTACAGTTGAAGATATATGTTGTCAACTCACTGCGACACTTTTAGGCTTATAAACCAAAGCATTTGCAAGATATGAACTTTTTACGATTTAGACAGTTTTTAGTGAAAAATCACCATTGAAAACCTAAAAACTTGTTACCATCTTTTAAATACCTCTGTTCACGCTGCAGAAGCTCAGCGGTTTTGTTTGTTTACTTCTTGTTGACCGTCTATGCCGGAAACAATTTTTCACTCAGTTTGTACAGCAAGATTATTTTAGATCCAGAGATCGCTTGAAAAGTATTTTTAAGAATTTAAGATGGCCAAAAGATAGAGCATGAAAAATAGTTTAAAAGTGTAGATAAAAATTTCGTAAGTCCGTTTTTCCTGCGGTCAAACAAGCTAAAAAAGTGAATTTTGCACTCACTTTGTAGAACGAGATTTTGTAGATAATGAGGCCTAGAACACTTGAAGGACGACTCCGATCTTAATGAAATTTACACATACAAAAACGTATAGAAAGTTATACCAACAGGGAAAATTGCAGTATCGGGTGACATTCTTAAGGGTGCAAAATTTACATTATACTGCAAAATGTAAAGCGAGATATAGTCTTTCCAACTAAAGAACGTTTAAGACACACAGTTTGGCTTGAAGAAAAATCTGGACAATCATTTCTCCTTCTGGATCAATTGAGAAGGCTATTCAATGAGGCCCGTATTCATTTTTTTCGCTACTTTTGCCTTTTTTTCGAACAAAACGCGTTTTTTGAGAATTTTTTACAATTTTTTTGCCGCATCGCGATTGCGCTTAGTACTGTTGAATTCCCTGTGTTGTGAGCTCTCGAGTGATGTGTCACACATGTCCTTACATATCCCTTTCACCGCATAGTTTCATAAGAAGTTTTTTGTTCGGAGGAACGTACGTTGTTACTAGGAAATCTCAGCGAATATGAGTCCGGTACTCGGGAAATATTCACCGCAGATTCGGTAAACGATGGACAACAAGCTGCATGTTTCAGATTTTTTCTAGCCACACTTTCAGTTTCTTTTAACAATTGTAAAAAAAAGTTACGATAGACTCATATATGTATCTATATATATATACTCTTTTTTCGTATGAAAGAAAGTAAATTCAGCTTTTGCAAATTATTTTTTGGATGAGATTGTCCACGAACACATCTGTCCTGGAAACCATTAGTTCAGATGAGCAAATATGTCGGAGTTCTGTGTTCTCCGTAGCGCGTTCACTGCTTACATTCATTAGCATTTTGAATGATGAGTTAAGAGAAACATAACCCTTTAATAAAGTATTATATGATTAACGTTTTTATTTCAGTGGACGCACAATATCTTTTTTTTGAAACTTCATCTAAACATCAAAGAGTATTATGAAATTAAATTATGTCAAATATTTTTTCACATATTTATAAACGTGATATTCTTATTATCGATAGACGAATTTATTTTTGCTTTCTGGAATATGAAACCTTCATTAATAAAAAAGAAAAAAGAACGATGAAAGTTTAGTTTTTCTCAAAGAAATGATACATTTTCAGTTAAGACAACATCTTGTTACACTGTGTGTATTCGTCATAACGTATAGCAACCGCTTTGTCTCAATCTACAGTGATACACTATTAGATATAAAACCAAACAAAATCAACAAGATTTTGAAACATATTGATTGTTTTGACTCAATGTTGATATACATAAGCCAGAAAGTTTAGAAATACAACAACAATTGAAGACAGCAATATATTCATGAACAGTATACAAAAGATGAGAGAATTGTGTTGATCGTTAAATATGATAGATTTGACATAGAATTGATTTCTAATATTTATCAACTGCCACAGATTTCTACCATCTATATTTACCATGCAAATGAATCGTTCGATGAAAAATGGTCTGAATATTATCAAAAAGTATGTTTACACGTAGATTACGAATTTTATGATTATCTCTCTTTTTATTTCGTATTCGTTGTTTTTATTTGTATCTGTTTAATTTTTCCAAAGTGTACCAATGTGGTCGGGTTTCATGTTAAAGTCGTACTCGTACTGAGATGAAAAAAGACCTCTGTGCATTTAGAGGAAAGATCATCTTTTACACTGGTAATGAGTTTAAACGAACGTTATTCGTTACGAGTTCAAATGAGTATCATATTCTAACATATAATACGGGAGACTGTTTTCAAAGCGTTACGAGTTTAAATGAACGTTCTAAGCACTTGTTGCTGTAGTTGTTATATCCACTCACTCTCATCATACCATCCAGTTTTTGAACTCGTACGAGGTCGAAACAGCTATCCAGTATAAAAAGCGACGGTAGAATTTTTCATCTCGTAAAGAGTTTGAAGACTGTCATCAGTGTGTGGTCAACATCTGTTTATCTGTCATCCTCTTTGTAACAGCCTGCAGATTTAAATGTAAAAACGACAATTAATATACTCAATCATATTTTCACCATGTTCAATTGCCGCCTTCTATACATCGTGTATATTACTATTCTTACGGAGTTTTTTTTTTATAGTTGCACCTTCTCCTCAACAGATACTACCCCAAAGACGATGATTTCGATGAGTGTGCGAACCAACAGGAAGATACACTTTCACTATTGTATAAACTTGAACTGGTTTTTATGATGATGTTTATATGGTTTTGAGATCAGTTCGACCTGGTTTTCACGAACTTGGAGCTCTGTTTTATGCATTGCCAATACGGAGAGATCTACTTAGTCTTAGTTAATTTATGTGGACCGTGCGGTGAATCGCATGTATTTGTATCGGTATTACTATGTATTTATTACTTAATGCAGGGATTTTATGCACAGATCACGATTATCAGTCCCAGATGATCATTTCTTCTTTTGTGTTTTCTATATTGCAGATGTTTTTCAAAACGAAGTTAGGGGAGCTTTGGCAAATCTAATAAATTATTCACCAGCTGCGAATCGATCTGCTGACACAAAAATAATTTTAAAGGAATACAAAAACTATGATCACTTTAGCGTATAAATATGTTCTTTTCCTACATTGATAATTAATTCCACAATGTCTCGAATTAGAAGTAAAGCTCTTACATGATTTCTATAGTTTTAAAGCACTATTTACAAACTTAAAAGTGGTTGCTGGAGAGAAATTTAAAAGTGATTCGCAGTACACTGAAAAAAAAGGTGCCATAAGGAACTTAAATTGCAACGGATTTGAAACCTTTTTAAGGTTTTGTAGAAGTATGAAAAAGCTTGAAAAAGATCTGTTAACGGCCTAAGAAACTTTTTCAAGGTTTCATGGATTTCCTACGAAACTTTCAAAATGTTTCGAATTCGTTGCAATTTTCGAAACCTATTTTAAGTTCCGTATCATGTATGGAACTCTTTTTAAGTTTCATAGTGTGCATGAAACCCTCTTTGGTTTCGTCTGGCACCTTTTTTTGTTCCAGTGTGGAATAGTTATTGATGTCATACAGTTCACGCAAACTAAAGTTGAGACACGATATTCTCAGAGTACATGCATGCTCACACATAAAGTTAGAAATAGTAAAAATCTATTCTGAGTTAGTATTCTTATAAAAAGAATTGTACCTCCTGCACAATCGCAAGATACGGTTTTTGTTAAGAAAAAAGGTGTAAGGAGAGCACTTTTCTTTTAACTGAATCTTACAAACATCTGTTAACAGCGGAGCTGAAAATACTTTCCAAATGTTTTAAAATAATGCTTGTTTAATTAAAAACAACCTGTTCGCAAATCACTCCATTATGCTATGGAGAGCTAGTTTACAGAGAATGTGGCTAAGGCAAACACAGACCACAGCACCTCACCAATAAAATTTTGCATAGAGAATGATCATTATAGTCAAAGTACGTTTCGCATCATATTAGAGCGTGATCAAGCGACACTGTACGAAATATAAGTCCAATAAGTTAATGTATCAGCATGCCTGGCATTTATTGTAACAGTTCCGTTTTCCGGAACAGTTATTTTTCGTTTCAAAATACCATTTTTATATCCGCCTTCCGAGAGCCACTGACCACTGCATATTATTCTTACACTATCTACTCCTGGAATTGAACAATGAATGGTAACTTTAGATCCTTTTTTCAGAATACCATGTAATGGTTCAAAAATTGTGCATTTATTGCCTGTCCAGTTACTATAAGTCATTGGGAAAGATAAAGATGGTTTGATAGTTGTTTTAATATCTAAATTAAATTGGACTGCACACGTATATTCTCCTGGATCCGATAATCTTTTAGCAAATATTGTTAATACATATAAGCCAATTTGTTTCGGCGAAAATAAACATTGCCACATTTTCTTTTCATTATCGTATTGCACTAAATGACCATTTTCAATCTTTTCCTTATTACTTTCCATTGAACAAAATAGTTGTACATCATCGGGTGTTCGAATATCTATCTGAGAATATGATTTGTTCTCTTTCATACGTGCAAAACATGTATTTTTTGGTGAAATAATTTCTAACTTCAAATTAAAAAATGTTGACCATACATGGGGTAACTTTAAATAAGTTGGCATATCAATAGAATTTATTAATAATTGCCATTCACTACGTTCAGGTAAATGATCATAGATCATTTGCTCCGGACGAGTGAGAAAGTAATGCAAATCTAATTTCCTTTTAAACTGACGATGATACACATGACCAGTACCCCAAGTTGAATCGAGTAATATCCAATGTTGATCAATTTTTACCGCATTCCATGCATGATTTGTATCAGAAAACGAACCGCCCTGTCTATAACTATAACCCTTAGCATAACCACTAATTTTTACACATTGCAATTGTATACTATCACATAAAGTTTTAAATAATGTAGCATAACCTTCACAAACACTTTTTTTACTATGAAATACTGCTTTTGAATTTTGACTTGGGATACTGTGTCGAAAAAATGAGTCGACATCATATTCAATATTTTGTGAAATCCAGTAGAATATAATCCATGTTTGATCAATAGGATGCTTATCCAATGCAAAATTTTTTATTGATGAAATTAATTGTTCCAACGTATCGTGTCTCCATTTTTCGATTGTTGTACGATAGAAATTATTTTCAATAGCATTTTGTTTTAATTGACAAAACTTAGAACTGAATACATTCACATCTAATGAATCACATTTTATTTCATCACTTTCTTCATTGGTGTTTGTTGGGAGAGATGGTGTATTTATCGGTCTAGTTTTGATTTCGTCAAATGTATTTTCTTTGTCTTGGTCCTGCATATAACCATTGATACTGGATCTTGATGATGAATTAACGATAAATGAAACGACAGATTCTGCTTGGTTTGTTGTTTCATTAACTTTTTTACTATTAATTTGTGTTGTACTGCTTGTTTCGTCATAGTTATTATTCATTTTGGTTGTCAGCGAAGGAGCATTAGTCTTGGTATTCTCTGTAGGTTCGTCGACATTGACTGTTGAAGAAGGATCTCGAGACAAGGGAATCAGTCTTCTTTCTTTTCTGACCAAGTTTCTTGTTCTTGTAATTGATCGATATGGAACATGGCTTATTTGTGATGATGATTTTGGTTGCTGATTAACATCCATCGCGCGGTTTAGTTTGATCGGTTCGAGACGTACACGATTAATATTTCGTTTTCGATAAGGTAAAGAACTAAGATGACTGTGATTAGTAGTACTAAGCGCAATATTACGGTTGTAAATAGTCCTGTTAACCATTTGATGTTCCTTATATCCAATATCATTTTTTCGATCTAAGTTAGTTCTATTATTTGATACTATTTTCCGAGATGAAGAGGATTCATCTGGTTGTTCTTCTGATGATGGTACAATAGTTTTTGTTATCTGAATCTGAGTTTTTCCAGCTAGCATTGTTTAGCAGAAATTACAGTTACAATTACATACAGTTAATATTCTTCATATCAACAGGCAATATTTTTATTTATTATCGCATCCTTGAAACAGCAATTACATAAATTTGTTATTCACATAGCGCTCATGCATATTTGGTTTATTACACATAAAGTAACAACAATTACATAAATTTGTTATCTATGTAGTGCTCATGCATATTTGGTTTATTACACATGAAGAAACGACAATTTAGGTGAAAGCGTAAATGTCAATATAATATGATACGTTATACTGTTAAGCATTCAAGGTAGTTGTGTCATTAGATTTCCTTTCACAGGAGAGAAGCCGCCATGTCCAGGTTGACCACGTTTGGATACAAAACATATTATATTGCTGATGACCTATAGCATAACGCATAGCAAAAAGGTAGGGACTACTACACCATCAGCTACTCATGCACTGGAGTTTGAATAATGCAACATTCTACTGCGAACTAGATAAAAGTATACTGTGCTTTCAACATCGGTGATATTCGATACATTTTATAAGAATACTAAGAAAATATTTTTACTATTTCTGACTTATGCGTGCAGTCTAAATATGCTATTTGGCAGAGTAGATTTACTCTGGAAAAAACCATACATTTTAGCTTTACATGTTATCTTTATCTGAGTCTTTAATTTGTCGCAGTGTATATATCCAGAACCATACTTTTTTTACAATGTTCCAGTTCCAATACGAAACTTCATATGTTGGTAAAATAATAAGACAAGCAAAGAGACGATTTAAAGAAAATAGAGTTCTCTCGCAATGACGACAATTATCTAAATCTCACGAGGGAACTGCCCCAAGCGTCCGCTCGCTTTTTTTGTTGAAATCTAGTGAAGAATAGGTTATCGACTATNTTTTGCTGCTAGGCCTTCGAAGACCTGGTTTTCTAGAAAACCAGTTTTTTCAGAAACCCCAAAAAATAACCCGAACCTTTCTTAATGAGGCATGATTGTAGCCCGCACATTTCTAATTAAAATGAGACCTCTCTCAACTCTACGTGACCTTTCTTTGCAAAGTTATAGAATTTACAACAAAAGCTCTAAATGTTCATTGTCAGCTAAAAGCTACAGAAATAAGAAGAAATTAATTTAAGGCTCTTCGTGTAAATTCTATAACTTTGCAAAGAAAGGTCATGTAGAGTTGGGAGAGGTCTCATTTTAATCAGAAATGTGCGGGCTACAATCATGCCTCATTAAGAACGGTTCGGGTTATTTTTTGGGGTTTCTGAAAAACTGGTTTTCTAGAAAACCAGGTCTCCGAAGGCCTAGCAGCAAAAACCATTGTCATATTCGGAATCAGCATAGTCGATAACCTGTTCTCCACTAGGTTTCAAGAAAAAAGCGAGCGGACACTTGGGGCGGTTCCCTCGTCAGTCTTCCATAACAACAGCTAATTCACAAATACTGAGCGGTTCTAAACGAAATAAAGGGAAAACATTGATTAATACCCAAAAAAAGATGATTGCGATGATTCTGAGAACAATACGAAGACATACAACACTCTGATGTACATTAGATGAAAGTACATCATTCTGGCAACTCCGACGATATTCAGTACTTTTTATAAAATTACTAACTCAGAAAAGATTTTTACTATTTCTAACCTTATGTGTTAGCATGACTCTTTTACATTTTTCAGCCGGACTGCTTATAACTTTTGATGCAGAAGATGAAACGTCTTTCAAGATTTGGTATATTATATAATTATTTTTTGGATTTTCTTCTGAAAACAACATTGTCACATGCTTGAACATAGTCGTTAGCCAATGTCTGAAGTTCTCGAAGACGAGTTTCGTTTTGTCTCTTCACCTAAAGAACATCTTAGGCTGATACCTTTGTCGTACAGTTCATGTCTCTAAATTTGAATTAAACGTGTCGAAAATAATCGTATATTTTCAGAGATCTTCCAGTTTAATCCTGTAAAAAAAAGTTCTATATCTATCTTTAATATACAGAAATGCGTCGAGTTCGTGACTATAAAAAATGTCGATAAGAAAACTGTCAAAAGAATAATAGCATACAACAAACAAAACACATTGCTGGAAAATATGTAAATAACTTTGATACCAACTTTTTTTATAAATTCTTTTGATGATTGCTATGTATGACCTAACCATGAGTTTATCTCAAAATCTGACATGAATTTCGTTTGGGAAAAAATGAAATTTCTTAGAGATTGATAACTTTAATGTACTTGTAGATTGTCGATATTTGATAAGAATAAGTGTTGACTAGTTGAGTACATGTATATGGATGAAAAGTCTCTTTTGAAGTCCCTATTTGACTAATCTATTATGAAACAATATTGTTAATAATGTTTTTAATGTAGTTTATTTCATCGATTGACGGTGTCGGATGAACACTTTGTAAAACTGGTATTTCAAGTATTTCATTATAGGACATTGGTCTCTGTCTATAATCTGTTTTTAACCTAAATAGAAAAATAGATATATGAATATATATAGATATATGAGAAATTTATAAACACTTTTACAGGTAGAGAATGAGTTCTTTTAATTCGCATGATATCGATTTATTATCAATACTGGGTGTCCATGTTTGAATTAGAACAGCCAATTGAATAAATTGTATACCGATAAATGGGTGTCTTCCGTTAATTATTTCAACCTATGATAATAAAGTATACTTTACTATAGTAATATTACAAAAAATGAATATTGTACTTCGAGTAGGAATCTAATTGTTTAAAGTGGTGACTCACCACTTTAAACAATTAGAAAGAAGAAAACAAGACGGACCATACAGACTCACCAGTGGTGAGTCTGTATGGTCCGTCTTGTTTTCTTCTTTTCTGCACGTACAGAAATTGATAGAAAGAGAAAAGTGCTGTGGAATAATTGGAGACTCCTTTTCCTACTTTCTTTCTTTTCTTTTTTCTTTCTGAGTGTTTCTGTTACAAAAGACCTAAAGATCTACCTATCCAGGTCGAGTTCGCCCTATCGGATCCTGTAGGACACGTTTAATTCCGGTGATTTCCGGAGTTCGAACGGTCAATCGGATCCAGAGACTAAAATCCGCTCAGTTCTTTTGCTACTGGATATTTGAATCGTGAACGATCCGGAGATTGAATCCGATATCCAAAACCAGTTGAATCTGGTCACCGCAAATCGACAGATCCTGTGGCGCGCACTTCTTTATTTTTTTTCTTTTCCATGTGTGTAATATATTCACCGTTTTGTTTCATATTAGCTGTACTTTGAATATGACATTGCAGAAGATGAAAAAAACTTTCTTCTCAAATTCTTAACAGCCTGAGTCATCCCTCACACTGATCAACAGACATGCTGTACACGCCATAGCTAGTGGACCCTTCATACTCTCTTGAATACGCGGAGACAGGATCCACTGAAAAAAGAATAGGAAATGAAAAATCTCAGACTATTTTTAGCCTTCAAACACCTGAAAACCGGCCACATTCCGCCGAATCTAGCGACATTCGATGTCCGAAACTCAAAGGATCCGGCTGAATCTTTACTGGCATTTTTCGGCGCGCAATCCGGGCCCCAGCATTCTGACATAATACGGCGTGGTTCAGGTAGGGTAGTGCCAGATTTTGTCGGATTCCGGCATGTCCGAAATTTCTGCCCATGCCTTTTTCATCGCATTCTTTAGTTCATCTGTGTTTTATTAGTTTATCATCAATAATAGGCCAAATATTCTCGATTGAATTGGAATCTGGGCTACTTGCTGACCATATTGATATGATGTGTTTTTGGCTGAAACGCGAAGACGAACACTGTCTTGTAGACTGACGAGTAGGAAATTTTCGAAATGCTGTTGATAGATGTCTCTCGAGTATATCGATATATTTAGCTGGATTGGGACATTCATCAAGAAAATCAGCGATTCTAGACCATGGTATATGAGAGAAGTGGAGGATCCGATGTTTGGTCGTATGTGCACCCGCTGATGTATCGCTACTATACCGTTGTTCGCTCAAGTTTTAGGTGAAACTAGTTCTAGTGAGAATTACAGAATAGATGGATAGTTCATATAGATTCGAGTCCTTCAATCCAATTTTTCAACGTTACTTTCATCTGAAAATATGACGTTTGACCGATCATTTTCAACTAAATCAAATATTAGTAACACCATAAAAGCCGGTCATGCCTTTATCTAGATTTTTTTTGAGGTTTTCTGGGTGCAATGTATGAAATCATTCGAGAAGAAATAATATTCATGAATTTGTGAAGAATACGGTTCATCCTTCAACGACTGATCGTCAGATTTAAATTCGTTTGAGCATATGGAACGAGGCTGGCAAACGAAAGTGTTGTCCCGAAGCTGTTGAAGTTTAACTGCTCGTTTTTGACGATCTGTTAGTTTCAAGTGAAGTTCAACACTACGTTTTGTAGACACTGTGTGAGGTTGATTAAATTAATGAATAGTTTCACGAATACAAGGATGAAAAATTTTTAATTTGGGAGAAATTTCATGTTGGAACATACCAATATTGTGTAAAAGAATAATTTTCTACTTTTTGTCGATAGTAACAGAATTTCTTCCCTTTATTTTCAGTACAAAACAGAGTAAACTTTGTTGACGGCCGATGGACAGCAAAAGATTGATTAAGAACGAAATAGGAAGGAGAAATTTTTCTTTTGGGAGTCTGTAACTATGACACAGCACTCTTTCTCTTGTTACCGATTTCTGCACGGGCAGAAAAGAAGATGAACCATGGATCAGCGTTCCACATACAGATTCACCTCTCTAAACAGTTAGATCCCTTATCTAAACAGAATATTCAGTTTTTGTATTTGCGCAGGACAGGAAGGCTATAATTTCACCATATTCTGTATTTTATTACTTACAAGACTGATACCTAATGCCCAAATATCCGAACGAATTCCATATGGTTCAACGTTATGTCTCATTCGTTCTGGCTAAATAAAATCTTTCCATATAGATACTATAGTGTATAATATCATATTATACTCACCGGCATGTAAATATCCGTACCCTTGAACGATGATGTTACCGATTTTGAATTGGTAAAGTAACCACAAATACCAAAATCACATAATTTAAATTCACATTGCCGATTAACAAGTATATTTTGTGGTTTAACATCTCGATGAAGAATACGATGTTGTTTGAGAAAATTCAATGCTGAAACAATCTTTAAGCAAAAAAAACAACACAAAATCTACATGTACACTGAGTTAATGAATTAATTACACTGAATATCAAACGTTGTAGTATTAAATCGAGTAAATCTAAGTTTTGACGTTCATGCATTGTCCGATAAAATTTATCCATTGATGTGTCCATTAATTCCATAAAAATAAGTAGGTCACTATCGACCTGTGAATAAAACGTGTGATTGTTTACATTAATAAAATTGAAAAAAATGAGTCTTACTTTGTCAATGATTGATCCATAATATTTAATAATATATGGATATGACTTTGTACCAACACGTTCAATTGTTGTCAAATCTGTATATGTTGATAAACGTTTTTCGGTTTCTAATCGAATTCTCTATAAGAAATATAATTGCACGACATGAGAGAAGGTCGAAAATTAATACATACTTTAACAGCCATTTTAACATTTGGATAATTTCGAAGTGATGCAGAAGAAACAACACCATATCCTCCACTACCCAATAGTTGTTGTATATCCAAATCATTTATATTTATCTCAATTGTTTTACCTTCATACTGTAAAATTGTTGTCGTTGTTGGTACTTGTAAACTACAATACAATCAATGAGTTTAACGCTCGAACAATGACTCAATACTAACGTATAAGTTGTCGTTGTTGTGTCAGTTGCGTCATCAGTTATATTTAGGCAAAGAAGAGCAACTATGCAGAAAAGAAAGAACTCAAAAGTATTTTTACATATTTTACTGTACGGCATGTGTACCTTACCTCTTGCGTTTCTTCTTGATGGTCGAGCCATAGGCTTTTATTCCCTCTTCACTACGTAATTAATTCTATCCACACATAAAACATATATATATATATATATATGTGTGTGTGTGTGTGTGAATGTTGGAAAGTTGGAAAAAATATTATTCTCTGTAGAAAAAATAATTGATAGAATAATTTTTTTCTTTTTGTTTCTCCTAACTGAAGAGAAAAGAAATAAAAATAGGTTACTATATCAATATAGTTAACAGAGCAGCGAAAAATACGAGTTTTCTTTTTTTCTTTATATTTCTTTATATTTTGTTTTCTTATTACGTCTGGCGTAATAAGAAAACAATTCATCATTCATAGGGAGTCTTATCTGGCGAAATAAGACATATATATCATTCACTTCTTTTTTCATCTATACATCACATACACTGCGTAAATATAGTGACGTCACTTTATTCAATCAGCTGTTTACATTTATCTGGAATCCAAAAACTTCCAGATTTTTTTTCGATTATTGAAAGCTAATCTCTGTTGATCTGCTAAATCTGTTCGACGAAGTTCATTTGACCTAGAACATAAACGAAAAGCTCGATATTGTTTCTTGCTTAAATCTATACATCTATAATGGGTCACCGGACCTTTATCAACAACTTTTGCTTGCGTAAATATTTTAGTATCAAAATATCCGCTTTTAAAAGAAACAAATCGTCGAACAGGTGTGTAAATGTAGATAACAGTCAGACAGGACTGTTTCTGTTTTCAAATTTTTCGTTTCGCTCTAGTATGAATTTTTTTCTCCCTAGTTTTCACTGCATAGAAATACAAAAACATGTAAAGATTTTTCGAAAATTTCCAGTTATTGGGGGAAGGGCATTCGCTCGGACCATCTCTGCGAGTATGCAGCCACTGGCAACCTGAATTTATCCTCTATGAATGTTTTGTGATAATTAGGTATCTGATGAATTGTATTTTCATTATTTGTTTGCTTAATTAACTCGTGTACATGACAGTATTTTGTATTCTCATGAGGCGTATGTATATATATATATCTTACTACGCGATTATACTTCAAAATTTATTGTTCATCACATTCGGAATCAGGATCAAAAGAACGAATCAACTGATGTGTATCTGTATCATATCCGAGTATTTTTAATCTTTTCCGAATTTTCACATCGAAAAATCATCGAGATTTTCACCAAAAAAGGAAAATTCACTAAAAGTTTCGAAATACGTATCACTCGATTTGTTTCTTGATTCTAATTCTGAATATGTTATTTTTATTATATAGAAGCTAAGTGGTGTTGTTGGAGAAAATTGAGCATCACGGGCAGAATTCCGACTTTTTCACCTCTGATTTAGAAAAGTGATTTTTGTCAGCAACGAAACAGAACTTTAGAAAAAGCGATTTATACTTTTATTTTACGTATCAAGGCGAATCGAATGGCGTATGAAACTTGGCTTCAACTTTTAATCAAAAACATGCGACTGGTTTGCAATATGAGGGTCTTGAAACCGAGGATATGCCGGGCACCTTTACCGCCCAAAAAAATAATTTTTGATCTGAAAATATAGTTGAAATATAGTTTTTGCAGTTTTCAACGCTGAATACGAAAAATATAGTTTAACGGCTTCGAACTGAGGCGTAACCAAATTATTTAATTCTTAAAAGAAATTACACAACCAACTCTAGTCGCATAGTTTCACAAATATCTTACTAGAATAAAGAAATAAATTGAATGTCGTTCTCTCGATTGTTTATGATGGCGAAGAATTTCAATTTTCCATCTTTTCGTTTTTTTGATAAAGATGCAGAGTAACACTCGAGTAGGAGAGTGTATGAGTGTGAGAATACTTAATGTAGAATTTCGCAAAACAAAAGCGGTGATTGAAATATGTGATTTTCTTTTCCTTTTTCAACTCGAGATCTGCAGAGAACTCAAAAGAAATATTGTGTTTTCCAAAACTTTAAAAACAAAGTTTCTGAAAAACTAAAATGAGTGAAAACTCATTTTTTATCGACAACTAGAAATTAAGTTCTTCATATTCCATAGAACTTAAATGAGATCTTCAACTCGTTCTCTGAAACCTCGAAGAACACGTTTTCTTTGAAGCGTAGTACATATAACTCATACTCAAGTGACACAGATAACACATCGTGTTTCAATTTTAGCTTGTCTTCTGTAGCGAGGAACCGAAAGAGGCAAACATCCTATTCAGGGAGTCTTTATGATGATTTTAGTTGAATAGTCTGTGTACCTACTTGATAATCTTTCAAAGGACCATACCATTCACAACCACCACCAGTATGTTTTTCACTGCATACTACTTGTAAC